TTGAGTTACACAATCATTATGGGAGTCAAGAACATCTCTGTTCATATATGTGGTGATGCTCTCAGTCTTTACTCCCAGACCTAGAACAATGCTGAGCAATTGCTTAAGTTGCTCCCAGACATTAAGCAATGTTGAGGTCTTGCAGACCCAGAGCAACACTAAATAAGGCCGTGCTTCCAAACCCAACCCAATGCTGAGGCCATGTTCCCAAATACTGCAGGCCAGAGATGTTGGGTTTTTATTTTGGATGCTTATTGCAACTTATTGCCCACTATAACAATTACAAACACAAATCCCATTTGGCTGGGAAATTAAAGGGATATTCCAGGTTAAATACAAATTGGCATATTGTCGATTATCACAGATAATAATTTGGACTCCCGTAGTTTGTGAGGAAAAAAAAAATGTGTATGCAAAGTCTTGGTTCTCACAATGTAAGTCTACAGGGTGATCATCCAAACTGAGGTACACATTAAAAGTATTAGGTAAAAAGTCAATAAAAGCTATATTGTTTGTTATTATATTCATAAAGTTAAATGGACGGCAAAAGTGCCCATTTTTGAACAGTTTAAATTTAATTGTTACATTAAAATATATTTGGAAATAATGTGTAAGTTAAACTTAAAACCAGTGCAAACATTTGTACTTTTTTTATTATTCCTTTTTTATACATACACCTCACATGATTTATGTATTCTTGTACAATATATTTGGTTCTCCAAAATAATAATAATAAATAAATAAAATAAATAAATAATTACTTCCAATCAAAAGAACAGAAAAACAAACTGAAAGTAGTATTTAACCTGAATATTACTTTAAGTAGCTGTTTAAGTGGTTTCATAGGGCATATGATACTGTACACTTAGTAAGCATCACATGATATTTTAGCGCACACATAATGCTGAGTTAACAGATTTGTTCAGCATTTTTCAAACCACGTTTTAGTTGTGATCTGAGACGAGTGTTTTACTTTTATGTTGACCCTATTCCTGAAAGCTTGCTAGAAGTTCATGATGATGTTGGAATATAACTAGAATGTGCAATCAAACATGATCTGCTGTTTAATGGAAGTTTTTGCATCATGACTGGTGTCCACTAAACTGAGGTCATGTGCTGGAGGGTGGTCTTCACTCGGGGTCAGGGCAGATGAAAAAGAGAAGAGGGAATTATTTTTATTTAGCACATTTCTCCGTCGGGATACTGTGAACAGCTGACTCAAGCAACCCTGATCTATTTGTGTTGGCTGTTTGTCTACAAAAGTTTCTGTGCACCAACATTTCCAGTTACCAAAGCAAAGCTTCTTCTCTTCTTCTAACATATAAACACAATGCATGTCGTGCAGTTGGTTTCTGTGCTTCTGGGCAGCAATAATTAGCTTTAGAGTTCAGGAGTCATTTGTCATTTTAATCGCTATAATTGGCATCATAAGATGACAATCATGTGACCTTGTGCTCTTGTTCAGATGGGTGTTTTGTTTATGCTTGCTATAGGTTTCAAGCCCTGTTGAACTGCTCACCTAAGCAGCATTTAAACACTGCCTTTTATCCAGTGGTATTGTATGTCTGCTTTACTTTTTATTTTTATTTTTTATGTCATTTTTTTCTTTTTATATTTAAAATTTTTTTTAGTATGGTTTTAGTAATTTCATTGTGTTTGTTTGTGTATTTATTTATTTTCCTAAACGTTTTTAATAATTGTTATTTTTGTTTTATTTTAGTCATGTTAGTGCTTCCAGGTAAACTAAATAATATTTAGAAATGTTTATAATATATATATATACATTATACTGTGTGTGTGTGTATATATATATATATATATATATATATATACTTTTTTCCCCCCCAAGTAAGGGTTTTTCTTTTGATTTTAGATTTAGTAATAACTCTGCTTTTAACAAACCTTATTTAGGCCAAATTCTTGTCACCAAGCACTTGAATACAGCAATCCCAGAATGCACTGCAATGAATGCTCATTATAAATTACATACTTATATTTTATCCAATACTGGGAGATATCAGTACAATGGTTAAAAGTAGACTATTTTACTCAATATGCACAATGTGGAAACAGTGAATAGAATTGAACTTTATGCAATTTAATTGAACTTTATTAGCATTAATTTTCCTGTTGCAGTGATTTGTGTTTTTCCACTGCTTTTTTGTAGACATGCTTTAAGCACAATCGCTGCATGACTCATCTCAGCCGGTCTGAGCTGGTTATTCTGTGAGAGATGACCCAGACTCAAGCAGGGCTCTTCTTCCTCTCCGTTTCATTCCCATCAGCCCCGTGCTAAAGTAACAGTGTTGCTCTTGGCTCAGGACTCGTTTTTCATGTTATCACGCTCCGTCTCTCAAACATTGCTCAGGCGCTGAAAGTAGCAGGTGTCTCTTAATGCTAAATACACACTGGCAGTCAGAATCAGTTTGGTGTTATATCTGTGTTTGTGTTTTAGGGCACATGAACCTTTAAAGAAATATTTCACCTTTATGTATGAAATATATATGACTTGCTTTATTCCTTAGAGCCCAAAAGGAGATGTCAGGTAGACTGTTTCACGCTGATTATATGACCGTGATGCACCATTGAATATGTGTGTATTCTAATGAAGTTTGTGTGGCGAAGGAGGGGAGGAATATTTATATTTCTCTTTCAGAAAACTACCCTATGACTTCAGAAGGATTTAAATATAATATGCATAATGTGTCTGTGAACTACATTTAACCCAGCCAATCAGGCAACATTCACAGAAGGTTCTGTCAAAATGATTTCCTCCAGGAATGTTAATGGAAATTTCATTCACAGTTATCTGGGCTTTAAAATGTTATGTTATGTTATGTTATGGATGTATGAAATATATATGACTTGCTTTATTCCTTAGAGCCCAAAAGGAGATGTCAGGTAGACTGTTTCACGCTGATTATACGACCGTGATGCACCATTGAATATGTGTGTATTCTAATGAAGTTTGTGTGGCGAAGGAGGGGAGGAATATTTATATTTTTCTTTCAGAAAACTACCCTATGACTTCAGAAGGATTTAAATATAATATGCATAATGTGTCTGTGAACTACATTTAACCCAGCCAATCAGGCAACATTCACAGAAGGTTCTGTCAAAATGATTTCCTCCAGGAATGTTAATGGAAATTTCATTCACAGTTATCTGGGCTTTAAAATGTTATGTTATGTTATGTTATGTTATGTTATGTTATGTTATGTTAGCACAAAAACATTACTTATACAGCTTAACGTTTTTTTGCTGAAATGTTTTAGATGCATGTTTGGCTATCATTTTTTAAACGTTACAAGCTAAGTGTTCAGAGAACCTTCAAAATAATGTTCCCATAATGTGTGCAAAATGATCAAATAGAATGTTTCCTTAATGTTTTCCTGTAACGTTCGCAGAACCAACTTCGACATAGAACGTTCAAAGAACTTTGGCTAACATTCTAGCAAGGTTCTGTCGAAACTACGAACAAACGTTCCTCCAGTAACATCAACAGAATATGCATTCAAAGTTATCTGGTCTTATTGTGTTGACATTAACACAAAAACATTATTTATACATCGTTCCTGGAACTTTTTTTCTGAAATGTTTTTTAAATATTACTAACTACTTGTTTCAGAGAACATTCAAGTAATGTTTGCAAAATTCTAAAATGGAATGTTCCCTAATGTTTTCTGTAACATTCTCATAACGAAGAAACTTTTAAAAACTGGATGTTTTGAATGTTCAGAGAACATTTTGAAATAACATTTTAATAACCAAATTTGAACGCCTTTTTAGAACACATTTTTGTTAGCCGGGAATTTAGTAGCTTGATGGTGTCCATAATTAAATAGAAAAATGCAGTGGGAACATTTCGCAAAACTCCTTTAGTGTTCTAGAGAAGGAAATTAAAACATAGGAGGTCGAAATGTCATGACTTTTATTTTAGGATTTCCTTTAAATGTGCCCTTTTCTCTAGTTCAGCTCTGTATGGGACATCGGACTCCGTTAGGAACAGATTGTGAGTCACGTCTGGTGGTCGCTGTCATGTCAGTCTTATAAAGTGGAAGGTGATAAACCTCACAATCATTTAGATAAATTGTTCTGCTGGCACCATGGGGTTTTTGTTGGCCTTGCGTTCGGCCCAAGCTCCCATTTCAGGACCATCTCACGGACACCAGGATCAAACGACACTCTTGGATAATGCTTTAGATATTTGTCTTCTGCTGCAGAAGAGCAAAAAAAAGCCGTCACCTGATCCTGTGGTGTATGATGTACAGCTGAAGGAGAAGCAGGCATCTGAGAAAACAGTTATTTTAAATTGAAATAATATTTCAGAATATTACTGTTTTTACTGTATTTTTAATCACATGCACATCAAATGCAGCCTTGGTGAACAGAAGAGACCTTTTTCAAAAACATTTAAAAAAAATTATATCAAAAAGATTTTCAGCAATAGTAGCAGGACTTCCATTGGTCCCATGGTATATATATATATATATCAATATTTCCTTAAATTCCTTTCCAAACTCGGGTTTGTTTGGGAAGACGAGTTTGTGAGTTGATGAAAAAATGTAAAATTAAGATAAATATTTTACAAAATCTAAATAAAAGACTTACTAAAAAAGCTAAAATATGGCCATTAACCAACATCAGAGAACTAAAACATACAAAGTTTTTAAATTTTTAAATATTAAATTTAATTTTAAATTTAGTTAAAAGTTTAGAAAATCTGTGGTGTTTTGCCATTTTTGTTAGATTTTAAAAGTGTCTATTTATTTATTTTCATTTCAGTTTTTGTTATTTTAGTACTTCAAGTTAAACTAAATGAAAATGAGAAATGTTGCCAGGGCAATTACCTGAAATAAAATCAGTTTAAGATTTTTTTATATTTTATTTTAGTTAATGTTTATTTGACTTCAATTTTACTTGACCAAAAAAAATGATTTCTATGGTTTTAGTTTTAGTTTTTTTTTTCTTTTTAACGATAATGACCCTCTTGACCCGGGAGGAAGTTTCTGGAAGAGGTTCGTAATCAATAGCTTCCTTTATCTGGTGTGTTGTTGTGTCTGTGGAGGTTCACTCTGCCGCAGGCGAGAAAGGAGACGCAGCTCCTGTGTGTGTGTGTTAAGGACGGCCCACGGGGCGGAGCTTCCCTGCTTCCTTATATGGAGGCAGGCTGGTCACATGGTCGAGCCGGTGTCAAAGAGATAGGAGCAGAACTGAGAACTTCGAACCGCAACTCGAACAAGCCAGCGCAGAGGAGGAGAGGCAGAGGGTGAGACAGACAGATAAGGAGACAGACAGACATCTCGCATGGTGAGAAAATGCCCACCAACTTCACCGTGGTCCCCGTGGATGATGGCAGAAAGTCCTCTCAGGAAGACTCGGATGACAACAACGCCCTGAAAGAGGAGGATGAAGAAACCGTAGGTGAGAGGTTCCCTCAGGGGAGTTTCTAGACTGAATCTAAACAGCTCGGCTGGATTTAGTGTAACGTGCTGCTTCAGGTTAAGTGAGCAGGTCACTGTCCGGAGTTTGTTTGTTTGTCTTTCTTCCTCTCTGCGCTGAACGAACATGCCTTCTCTTTTCCTCTTTTCACATGGGTGAGAGAAGCATGTGCTGAAGACAAGCTCGTGTGATGTTGTCCCAGAATGTGTCTTTTGTCGTTTCATTAGCCTTATGTTGGTCATTTAATGCAAGTGCACGCCATCACTGGAAGTGCAGTGTCAGTATTTATGCATTTGTTGCATAAATGATGGCAGTAAACACAGTAGCTCTTATTTCTACACTCATTGGCACAGTTCAACAGCATCTTTCTTGTGCTAACTAAAGCAGGTTGATATTTTGAATATGCATGAAAAATTCACTGTGAGTTTTGCTGGCAAAATGAATGCTGCAATATTTTAATGCACTTTTTAAATTTTCTAAAAGATTTTATAATTAGACTAATTTTGTGATATTTGTCTTTTGAGGGCCGATCGGATTGAAGTGATTAATCCGTGTATCATTCGATCATTCGTTTTTTGATTTAAATTTCAAAGTAGAAAAATGAGAAAACGGCTCCTTTTTCGTTTTTGTTTTTTTTCCCAAAAAAACGAGACTTCAGGTTAAATTTTTGTTTTTCGTTCATGGGTGGAAAAATTAATAAACAGCTTGAATATTTGATTTCTACACGTGGGCGGGAATTAAACGCCCCTTTCTGCTGATTGGTCAGCCGAAGATCAAACTGTGCCGTCATCAGTTCTTCTGCAGCAGAATAATAGTCC